TTTTGTTATATAAGTTGTTCGAGTTTTTTCATCTAATAAAAGTGACATTAATTTCTTGATGACCTAATAATTCAGTGATATAAGTAATACCCGACTCTTGTATATTATTTTTTTAATAGGAATAGATACATGTAATACCTGATTTTTATTGGTTATTGTGAAGGTAATACTTGACTTATGTATTTAGAACTTGAAAACTGTTGAATTATAACTTTCTATAATTAGAACAGATCTTTATTCAGATACACCCAGTATATACAAGACTGTTTAGTGTGAGCATTATTATTTAGTTGATTTTAAGACTTAATATTGAATGATTGTTTAGTTTTCATGACAGGAGTGTTGAAGGTTGATTGTTTTAAAAGCATTAGTTGTGACAAATTTTGTTACGTAACTATGTAAAAGTCATACTTTGCGTGTGTAGTTCAACTGTTGTAGTATTGTTGATGCCAAGTTACTCGAATCTTTGGAATTTTTCTCGTTACCTTAAGTGAGTATTGTTATGTTATAGTGTTGCTCATATAGTTTATAGAAAGTTCAAGGCCTCAGTAAACAATGTATAAATATAGGCAACCAAGTGAGTGCAAGTCAAGTAAAGTAAAGAAAAAAGTGAAGTGAAAGAAAAGTTTGGTCACAAAAAAAAGTTAGAAAACGTGAACTTAGAGGGCGGGTGAGTGAATAGCCTTAACCAGTGATATCTTAAAGTGAGTTTCACAGTTTAACAGAGACAAGGGGAATAATTTGTCTTGTCAATTGGGTTCTAAAGTAACTGAACCAGCCTGTGTGGACTTTTGACAAGAAAGAGAGAATTTACTCTGGAAACAAAAATGGTTTACCAACAAAGTAATTTAAGTCAGAGAAAGTTCAGTTAGTGAGAGTGAAATCAGACTGCGTGATTGTTAGTTTAGCTGTAACGGGTGATATACTAAAGTGAGTTTCACAGTTTAATAAAGATAAGGAGAATAATTTGTCTTGTTAAAGGGTGTTCTAAAATAACTGAACCCACCTGTGTGAACTTTGACAAAAAGGAGACAATTATTTAAAGTTTGAGATACAAATGTGGTAACCCACAAAGTAACATAAGTGAATCTATCACAGATTGTATAGTAAAAAACAAAGTAGAGAAAAATAATTCATCTTGTCAATTGGATTCTAAAGTAATTGAATCAGCCTGTATGGACTTTTGACACCAAAAGAGAATTATTTAGTTTTAGATAAAACTGTGATTTCTTATAGTGTAAAGAATTTTTGTACATATGTTTGACTTGTTTTGAATACATTATTTTATTACAAGTGAATTGTATGCTGTCCATTTGTTGTTGGAATTTATCACATACATGCCACAGACACCTACTGTAGAAGAATCCCAGCCCACTTACACATAAAAACCCTGACACCCAGGTAAAAAGTTCAAATTTTGTTTTACATAGGTATTCTGCCTTCAGTTAATGCTCTTACAAACAGGATGGAAATAGATGAAATATTGCATTAATCCTTGCATAGGGCTTAGGTTACATAGCACAGTAGTCTTTCCAACAGACCTTACTGTTGCTATATCATGCTCCTATGTCATTGTTCTAAAAGGGTGTGGATCATACACGTGTGAAAGGTGGTAAAGAGATGTGTACAAGTTACTGTGAGTTTAAAGTTAATCAATGTTAAAATTCTCCATAAAGAAGTCAGATACACACTTCTACAAGAACCTGGCCTCACAGTGTATGGAGTATCAAGCTTTCTGTACATTAATGGTACTTTCAAATACACTATTCAAATTGAACTGCCATGTGCATTATGGAAAATGGGGATGAGCACTGACATAAGTAATCTAGGATTGTTATATACAGCATTAGTATTTTGGATGGATTTAACAATACAACAACTCTGTCCTTTATTGAGTGAAATTGTGTCCTTCTCCTGGTTTAGCAACTACCATGTAGTTTGAAAAAAAAACTTTAAAGTAAAGACACTAGTAGGTGGTTATTTGTTTATGAAATAAATTTGTGGTTCTCTGTTCTAAATTTGATTTGAATTTTTCTTTTTTTTTGTTAATCTAGTCCTCTCACAAATGAATAAGTTCAACTTTCCTGTTGTTGCAGCATTTCAAATTTACCCATTGGGCATCAGTGAGCCTGAAAACCACAGACTATGTTTGCAAGAGTTTGTTACTGCTAGGTTTATTTTAAATATGCTTCTTTGTTCTATTTGTCTCTCTGGTTACAATAAAAGATGTACATTGTGATTACAGAAAGATATTTTCTAAGACTACATAAAACTACAGTGAAGATGAGGAAGTTGCTGTTGAAGTGGGAATACAATATGAATATATGGTAAGGACTAAGAGTGATCCTCTTCTGGACAAAAGACTTTCACCATCATTGTTAAGAGCCATATCTATATTCTTGTTCCATCTCTGAAACAGAAATGTTGAAAGGTCTCTAGTGGAAACCCTGAATGCCACACCACTTCAATCTCTACTTCCTTCTGTATGCAGGAGTAGGGTAGCAAAAATAAGACATAGTGGTGATGAGCAATCTGAAAGATCCAAGACTAACTGAAGTGGTCTCTAAGAACCATCTAGGTTTTTGTTGACTAATTTGTGTGCTGCTAAGTGCTGACCAGGGTAAACTGTACATAGGAGAGAAGTGAGGTGTGTATGGTGAATGAAGTATGCAATAAAAAGCTATGACACTGTCAAATGGAACAAACAGCATCTCTCATAGTTTTGGGTAAATAAGGAGCTTTCCAGGTCAGCAAATGATATAGGCAATGTTTTGAGACCATGTTCAGTTCCTAAGGTTAGTGTAGAATGCATCAGTATCATATGTTCCCATGCATCATACCAATTTGCTGCTGACCTCACTCACATACACTGCATTTATCAGGACGCATGTATCTCCAGACTTGAAGATAGAGAGAGTCTCCCTTAGGTACTAACAATATTTCAGCCACATAGTGGAAGAGACATTGACAGCATGTATCACCCCACATTACCATTTCACAATGGAAATGAGATGAAGCATGTTAACTTGTCAGTGTTTAAAGGGGAGGTAAAGAAGAATCTGGATCTTTCCTCAAATGCATCAAGCATGTTGACTCCTGGAATGATTGCATCACAGGCAAATGATCAAGTGTCTGATGCTTATTTTGATTGATTCAATGCTCAACACCCAACAGCATTTGTAAGAATAACAAATTGAATAACAAAATGGTCATCACTGATTTTCATTGCTGGTTAGATCCTATGGAAAACAGCGTGATCTATGTGGTTGAGTTTAAGGCTCAGAAGTGTGGAACTCTATAGACAATCGAAGAGACTGCATGGGAAGACCTTCCTATGCATGTCATCTGATAATGTTAACATTCTCACTGATAAAATAATAAAGGATCTAAATAATGAACCAATGCACCAATGATTAAAGATCTAAGAAAGTCTAACCCCATCTGTTTTTCATCCCTCATTTTTATTGATGACAAGATTCAACAAGTCATAAAATTTCTAGAATTTTGTAAACACATTTTTTCAGAAATGGAAATATTTAAAGTCAAATCATTGGTTTTTATCATGAAGTCCTGGAAAAGTCCTTAAAAGTTTAACACTGCTGCTCCCACATCCCCCATTTTTATTGACAACAAGCTGAATTATTGTGTTTATCTCAGTTTCGAATAAAATTATCTCTGTGAAATGTGACTTATAAAATGGGAAATACACTGATCAGTAACAGGCTTTGAACTATGTACTTATGTGTGCAAGCAAACAGATGTCACATGAAAACTGTTGGAATTATATTTTTAGCAAATAAATACAATGAATACTCATTTAGTAGAAACCAAAAATCATATGTAACAATGTTTCTAATTCTTCATCAATTATTACCTAAAGTTAGTTCATAAAAATATGGAC